TTTTATTTCAGTAACTGCTATTGGCTTTACTGAGCACTCACCCCTTAGGAGTTAGCAATTGGGAGCCGGTATGTAGAGTCAAAGTTGCCAATCAACAGTACCTCGTGCCCTTTCAATATGTTCAGCATGTCCTAGTGATTTATAGATTAATCTATTTAAAAATCTTCATTTCAGGGCCGAGCCCGTGGCACACTCGGGAGAGTGCGGCGCTGGAAGCGCAGCAGCGCTCCCGCCGCGGGTTCGGATCCTATATAGGGATGACCGGTGCGCTCACAGTGCTCACTGGCTGAGTGCGGTGCGGCCGGTCTCCAAAAGGACAAAAAAAAAAAAATCTTCATTTCATTTAGAATATTCAATAAATTTCAACTATTATTATCCTCCACCCTCACCTTCCTTGAAGCTGTAGAAAGGACACTCGTGTGTGGAAGGTTTGGTAGGGCGGGGTGGCCTCTGTCTTTCCTTCTCTTGGAGGATTCATGGGATCTAGAACTGGCACGTGCTTGATACAGAGAAGGAAGCTAAGTATAGAAATCCCATGAGTGGGCAATCCCTTTGCTCTAAATCTTTTCAGTATCTTCATCTGAAGCAAGTAATACTGAAATTGATATCAGATTGACAGACTTTGATGACTGCTCTATCTGGGTACTTACTGTGTGTTTTAGATTTTTCCCTCCTGATTTTCTTTGTGTAGTGATGCAGCTCTCAGACAGTTGTTTTCGCTGCCCTGACTCTAAAGCACAGTAAATCTTGAGGAGCTACTTCCCCTCAGGCTCTACCTGTGATAGTCACTGGCCCCTTTGATCAACTGGGGAAATTCCAGTGGGACAGGTATCAGTGCATCTCCCCCTCCTTGTTCTGATCTTCCTACTGGGCTGCATGATTTCCAATATCTTTCAAGACCCTTTTGTGCCCANCTCCTTGTTCTGATCTTCCTACTGGGCTGCATGATTTCCAATATCTTTCAAGACCCTTTTGTGCCCACCTAAAGCATTAAGACACTTAAATTTTGTGTTAGAAATAAAATAAAATAAAGCAAATCAAAGCATTTCTGTAAATCTCTAGCACAAACTGCTCTGTGTTTCAGAGTTGCCATCACACTTCATACGTGATTCGGGGGGTCCTGACTTTGGTAGAAGGAACAGATAAGCGCTTCTGTCTTTGTCTCCTCTTTAAGAGGGAAGGGATCAAACTGTCAGTTTATTACATCCAGACTCTGTTGTTTCTCCATTAATATTGCTCGCATCTTTTGCCCTTTATCCAAAACAAAGGAGAAGGATCTTGTCACACAGGCCTATTGCAATTCTACTCCCATGTTAGCACCATAAGGGTGGGCTGTCTAGTACCATGTGCTAAGAAGGAAAAACAGGCAAGGCTTTTTTTTTTAGCTGTTCTTAATGATTTCTGCAGTATTTGA